TACTAACCCAAACCCATATCCACACTAGTTTATGAAGGAAGAATCTGAAGAAAAAGTGAAGAAATACTCAAATTTTTTCTATTATAATTAAAGTAAGAAGTTGTTCGGGTCAATGATTGTGATAGAATAAAGAAAAACTTTTTTCTCGACAAAAGAAATTGTCATTTTTCAGACAAACTATGAACAACTGTTAATTAAAAAAAACACACTTAATATCAAAGAAAGGCTATATTCCATTTATTCTATGATAGAAAAAAACATCATTTAGAACGATTGTGAAAATTCCTGGTATAAAAAGAAAAATTCCTCTTGAAAGAAACCATCACAAGTGTATCATTTCATTGTTGATGTAATTTCTATATCAGATAGATGTAATACTTCGTTCTATGAAGATAACGTTGAATATCTACTTTGATTCAAATAATTTATATTCTTTTTTTTTTATTTGAATCGACATGATAATTTCAGTAATAGATCAATAGATGAATTAGTTTTTACATTAAATAGAAAGATGTTTTGAACATATATCATGAATATCTCGCATATTTTGCAAGAGATTTTCATAAATTGGCTGAAGATCATAAATATCTTGAACATCTAATTGAATTTCAAGCTGATCATACAGTGCGATGATATTCGATAATTCCGTTTTCATTTGAAGAACATATTTACTTGCTTCAATAATCTTCTTTTTACATTGTTTAAAATCGTTTTCTGCTGTTATGTTGGTCAATCCTATTCAAGATATCAAGATTTAGTTTTTATCTTCAAAATAATTATGTCGTATACATACCTTCAGAAAGTAAAATCATCGATGGTACTGCATTATTAGTAATCAAAGCGCCAGTTGTTTCTGAAGCCATTTCAACTTCCAACACTACAGGCATAAATAAGAAACCGATTAAAGATACAATAGCCCGGGCGGTACCAGAACCAGTGCAAAGAAATGGCATGATATTACTTGTTTCGTAATATTCATCCGTACTAATTCGATTATTAAATGACAAAATCTTATCTTCCAATCGTTGACATTGTTCAAGAATATGTTTTGGATCGACTTGAGAAAGAAGTTGTTCGACTAGAATTTTCACATTAACAGAATCTGATGAGTCAAATTGTGTAAGAGCATATTCAAGATATGGTAGAGCTTTATCACAAAAACTATGTGTTTGAATAATTAAATTTTGACATTGAGAGCATAGACCAAGAAATTCATCACGATGTTCTGGTTTAAAAGAATCAGCTCGAAGAGTATTCAGATGATTATGAAGATTTGAAATAAATGATTTAACATAACCATATATTTTTGCTGAATCTAGTTCTTTGAACAAAGAGTTATATTTTGAGTTACTTGTTGCCATGTGAAATCTATTGCTTCTAAAATTATTCTGACAAAATCGTCTTGACGAAGATAAATAATAGATTAAAGATGACACTGTTACATTGGTATAGTTGGTTGTTAGTAATGTTTTTTTTGCTTTACATTCAGTGAGGAAATAGAACAAGAAGGAAATAGGACGAGAATGAAAAAAAAAAAGAAAAAAAAATGCATTTCTCTCTGCACTCGTAATCAGAAAAAAGGGCATCTTAGAACGTTAGGGACCATACAATGCCAGTATTTCGTTCTTTTCTCCTGTGTTTTTTGCTTTATATTCAGTGAGGAAATAGGACGAGAAGGAAAAAAAAAAGAAAAAAAAAATGCATTTCTCTCTGCACTCTTACCCAGAAAAAGGGCATCTTAGAACGCTAGGGACCATACAATACCAGTATTTCTTTCTTTTCTCCTGGTTTTTTTTTTCTTTCTATACATGGAGAGAGATGTCAAAGTGGGAACAATCTCATAACAAGTACTTTGAATGAATACTGTTCTAGTAGAAGAATCTTCAAAAGATCCGTTCGTCTATTCTGATTTTTTTACTATTTGTAATCTAGTCATCAATTATAGTTTCTCGAATAACAAAGAGAATATTTTTCTTTTCTTGTTTATATCTATTTTTGACATAGAAACAAAAATCTGTAACTATTTTCTTCGATTGTTACAAATAGTTTGATTATATATCGGTTGAAGAAATTCTATAATTAAGTTCTTCATGTGAACTTTGAAAACATATCTATCTAATTTCATAAGACTATGAAATGAAGTGAATGAATTCTACTTCATTAATAAAACTTCTTGAATATTTTAACTTTATATTTTAATTTTCAAATATTGCTGCAATAATTAGTTTATTTGCTCTTTTTATTGCTATCCTTGCACAAAAATTTCTCCTGATTTGGAGAGAAAAATATCTATACACTGAATTTTGAATTATCTTAATTTGATAATATAAAATTATGAATAATATAAATATTTTTTTCTTAGTTCAATTTGTTCAATGATTGAATACGATTCAACAATTTTGATCATTGTGTATCTCATGTCGAAAAGAAAATTGATGAGGTTAGAAAAGATTAAAGGAATAGAAAATATTCTTTTTTCTCTTTTTGAAAAAAAAAGAATAACAAGAAAGATAAAAAAAAATTAATTTTCAGTTTTCTTTGCCAAGTTTGATTTGAAATAAAATTATTATTATCCTATGATTGCAGAAGTTAAAAAATTATCTTTCTATATTTGATTCTGTCAATGTTTTTTTTTATTATTCAACAACTGAACAAATAATATAATTGGACTCATCGTGAGGCATGTCTAAGTGTCCAACATCGACCGAGACTCAATGTTATCCATCCATAGGACTCGGTAGGACTACAATAAATCGAAAAGAAATTCCATTATTCCGTGTCCTTCTCGATTAAGGATCATTTTACTGTATGTTCGACAAGAATTTTGCTTGAAGCACTTAAGTCACACTTTTTTCGTCCTTGATTTTTGAACTGTGACATTCGATTTGTGGAAAAGCTGAGTGAAGTGTTTATTTCATCAGAAAAGAAAGTCACATTGAGCAAGATGGGATTATATTCCCATCCCATCAAGACCCTGCAGTATAGGTAATAAATATATGTCTCATAATCATCATCATATCTCTTTTCTTTCTGTCAGCAAGCGAATATACATACTACTCTTTATTATGTCAAAGTGTGTATGTTTCGAGTGATTCTCTTGTTTATATGCAAAGTAATTTTTCTGCATAGTAATGATGGAAAAACGTTATTTTTTTTCATTTCTATCTGTATTGCTGACAATGTTGACTATTTTTATCAACTCAACTACTATCCGTTTCAAAGGGTGTGGGTGTGGATGAAAAAAAACATACCCACACCCGAAACCTTGAACTTAAAACTTACACTCACTATTTTCTTCGAAAATATATGTGAGTTCCACAAAATAAAGCAGTTGTAAGATGAAGTTCATTGAAATCATTCGTTTTTGCAAATGTTCTAGAAATAAACGAGTTCGGTGAATACCTTCGCTTCTTTGAGTTCTACGGGATTTGGTAGATCACAGAATTTAGACAGTTTCTAAAGTCTTCCTTGACTTCTCTAACTATAGTATAGATTTCACCGTTAAAACGTTTTTTTTTCTGTTTAGTTCACACAAGTTCAGGAGTTGAGACCTCACAGAACCCACACAAATTTCATTCGACTTTCTTAATTAAGGAAAAATCAGAGTATTTTAGTTATCCATAATGCTTACATGCACGATAATCATTATTCTAGAAAAAACAGTGCTAAACAGAATCATCTGAATCCACTTAAGGTCATCAACGATTTCAAGAAAATTACTAAAAATACACGCTAACGATGAGAATATTTTTGTTTTTTTCTTTATAATGGATGTTTTCATAATTAATATAAAATGCTATGTATTAATACTATTAAAAAACAGATAAACAATTAGTAAAAATATCCTTTATCGATATTTTAAGTATATTCTTACATAGAGATTCATTGAAATAGCTTATTACTTATCCTGTATTTTGTGTTCCATTTTTTTTATAGATAGAACGTCAGAATCACAGAAGGTTCTTTTGTTGCATGATGTAAGTTTATGAAAAAAAGTCAAGAAGGTCAATTTATCGATTGATTTCAGGGTCCGTAAAATTTACTTATTGAGTAATACTTGTATAAGATTTGGAAATGTACGGTATAAGTTATCATGACGCTATTACAGATCATTAGTGTTAGCTTCATTTCACAAAAATGAATTTAGAGAGATTTATATCGCTATGATATTCCGATTCTTGTTGCAGTAAGGATTCTGGCTGGTGTTTTATTTTAAACGTAAGATAGAGATGTGTTTATATACGTATAGTTACTATCTTTGTAAAAATATGTTTTTTGAATATGAAAATATCTGAAAACACTGTTACACAGACTTTTCTTGCAAAATTGAAAAATAGCATATTTAATTGAAATGCTTTGAAGATCATCTCCAAATTTTTCATGCCGTTTGATACTGATCGCTAGCAGCATTTTATCTGATTGTTCTATAATGACGGAGTAATTCAGAGCTTTCAGAAGGTAAACAGATCATTTCTGTAGAGCATCTCAATAGTTTTTTATGCAATAGACAGGGTCTTCAGAATAGTATTGGATTTCCACTTGGACGATGCTACATAAAATATTCCTAGCTAGATCTTTTCTTTCGGTGATGAGCTGCAGTTACAGAGGCGCTATCAATTTCGCAAAGCTAAGTTAAAATGAACGATTGTGAATGTTGATGTTTTTTCTTTCCTCACTAAGAAGCACACTGCATGGCTAAAGTCACGGCTACAGTCACACTCCACACTCTGTGGGTGTGAATCTATTACTTTTTAACATTCATAACCACACCGTAACTTTTTGTAACACAATTGAATTTATTATTGCTTTCAATGTCAGTGTATAGAAAGCTGTCAAATTTATTAGTATTTTTTTAATCAGATATGAAACAAAACTTTTTTGAATGCATGATCCGATTGCTAGCATCAACTAAGTTTTCTGTAGGAATTTTGTAAAGAGAAAAATGAGAACTATGATTTATACAATTTTACATTAAAAAACTACACAGTATCAATAAACAATGATTAGGCTAGGCAAATTTTCTACACGTTATGCCGATGATCTTAACTACAAAACTCAAGGAGCAAAAGAAAGTCATTATTTTCGACAAAAGTGAATATTTTGTTCTTCTATCCTTGTCAATTGCATCGTGACTACTAAACATAAATTAAGAAAACTAAAAGTTTAAAATTAACTTTAGATTACCAAAAAAATATTCATCCATTCGACAACTGAATCGAATATACAAAAGTGGAAACTTCTATCGTAATCAATCTCGTTGTTTAACATGACTACTGCTATTCCACAAACGAATAAATCTCACGGTGATGTCGATGATGTGAGTCTTGAAACTTTCTGCCTTGTCTGGCTCAATGCTAATACCAATGTCGAAGATAATAGAGACACAGATCAAAAGTTACGTTCTATCAACAATCGTCTAAAGAAATTTCAAGATGTCGAACAATGTCAAAAATATCTTGAAGAAAGTTTAGAACATGAACGATTCGTTATGATTGTTAGCGATCGATGGGGACGAGAAATAGCCCCTTCTATTCGCAGACTTCGACGAGTTATATCGATCTACGTTTATTGTTTGGATAAGAAAGGTAATGAAGAATAGGCCAACAATTTTCCCAAAGGAAAATTAGATTGAATGATTTCGATTTCATTTTATAATTTTTCTTCATAGGTAAAAGCTGTTATTGTCAAGCTTGATGAACTTATTTCTCGAATTCAAGATGATCAGAAAATTCAGAAAATGATCAAAGAGCCACTGTTAATTAATATTTTTTAGTACATATGTGGGCTCAAATAAATCGATCACAGGTTTAAATGCCTAGTTTGTTTTTTCTCAAGTTCTGATTGATTGTCTTCTCCGACTAAAATATTCTGAAGCAGATTAAAAAAGAACTTATTCGTCTTTGTAAACAGCAATACAAAGGTAATAGGGTCGAGTTGAGCAAAATTCATGAATTTTAATAGGATTATTCATCCGACAAAGCTTTATGGTGTTACACAAGAGAAACATTCTTTTATAAAACTCTTAATACAGCTCTTCGTACCCAAAATATTCATTTAATGTTTTTGTTTCGCGCATATATATGTTCGACATTCATCATCAATTGAAAAGCTTTCAAGCTAAAGATCTTCTACGAGTTTATCAGAGCCAAATGATATCCAGTGGTGAACTGAAAATTTTGAAACAATACTGCGGTCAATTTATTTCAGTGAATTCATTTTTTTTCACAACCACTAATAAACAGGGTGTGGGGTGTGGGTGTGGGTGACTCTTCGCAGAAGAACAGATATCCACACCACGCACCCACACCCCATTTTTGAAACCAATGATAATCACTGCTAGTCACTTGATAGGAATCCGTTTATTCAACTATGAATGATATTATTAAAAGTGACGATCAACAACTGAATTTACTAATATTGCATAAAATTTTATTTTAGTGTATTTTTTTATCAAGAATATATTATTTCTTTCGTGCTTATACCAGATTGCTTGTATAGTAAATTCTACATACATTTATTCATTTGTTGTTGTTATTATTCAAAAAACGACGAAAACGGACATTGATTCAAGGGAATGACAATACCACTGATATACATCTTACTTTAACTCATCATAGCAATAATGAGAATGTTTTTCTGCCTTATTTAAAGGTTCAAATAGACGAATAAAGAAAACAAATACATTGTTTACACAGCGATAGCTACATCCACACTTTCACACTCTTTTCATACTACGGCAGGCGCAATCATAAATCAAGATTAAGAGAACGATATTTTCTCTTTCGATCTAAGTTGATCTTTGGTTATGGAATGCTTTAAAATCAAAGAAGATATAAGTATAAATTATAATCATGATGAAAGTTTATCATTTCACCATAGAGTAAACGAAGTATAGTGTTGTAATGAATTCGAAAATGTTTTACTTTCTAATTGCTCGAAGTGTTCCAGTAGTCTACTGAATTAACAACGATACATAGTATTTTGTCTTATATTTTAAAAATTATTTTTCTTAATTAATCAAAGCGAAAACAACAAATAGTAATTAGTATGAGGCAGCAAATGTAATATTTGTTTTTTACCTATTACTCTATTGAAGCGAGTGTCACTCAACATATTACAAGAAAAATAAATATCAAGTCATCTACATTTTCAAGGGTGTGATAACGATGATATTATTTATTAGTTAATACAGAATTATATAGCAAAGTAAGCATTAGATTCCTGTGTAGGAATACCAGGTAATAAATTCGTTTGCCAACAACAATGCTTGTGCGGCACTGCTAGATATCAAATAACATGTTTCCCATTTCAACGATTTATTACGGTCAGCTCAACGAACTAAAATTACGTAGACAGAAAAGAAAAAATAAGAAGCAAATCTTTGATGTTGCGAGAATATTTTTATGTGAATCCATAAGATGATACATTGAATAGGTCTTTATATTTATTAATGCTTGTTTCCAACATGTATCTTGTCGAACTAGAAAATAAACTTCATTAATGCAATCAATGTCTGTTATTCGAATGCAAATAGAGTAAGAAGAAAATGATTTATTTTTACACCACGTGTTACTTGACTCATAAAGATATAATTAAATAGCAATAAGGTAAAGTTATGCTTGAATGGACATAACGAAGATAAACAATGTTTCGAAATATATTTTAGCAATGAGACAAATATATTTAAACCACAAAATAAAGAAGAATCCAACTAATATCGAGATCTTGAATTTGTTTTTTTTTTTATTACGATTTCATAGTTCTAGACTATTATCTGATTGTTAAAAACATACTAAAACGTCATAATACAGAAAAAAAATTACATATTCAAATTTCACTGTTTGCTGATTATTGCTGATGTATATACATATAGAGTATTATGTTTGAAATCGACTATTCGATCGAATACAAGAAGATGAATGAATTTTATCGATTTTCTTCATTTTAGTTCTAGGCAATCGCACAAGTATTTAATTTATCAACAAGAACTGTTTGCTCAATAGGGAAAGAAGAATGAAAACAAAACAATGTTTTTTCAGTGATCTCATCAATTATCATTCATAGAGCGCTGAGGATGAAGATCATAATGTATTTATCAAGTAGAATAAAGTGAAATTCTTTTTAATTTTGGTTTGTTGTCATCATATCTGTGACGTTTCCGATTGAGTTTATTGTGTGTGGTTATTTATTCTCACTGCTTGGTTGAATTAATTGTTCATCTATCATGTTCAATCTTCCTTTATCATTGTTCCTTATGCTGAATTTTATTAAATTGACTAAAAGAAAAAATGGCCAATGCAAGAACATCGCAAAACAATCTTGAAACAGTAGATAGCAAAAAAATTTGACAATCATATGAATTTGTCGAAAAAAGTCTATTTCAACATTCTCGACTAGTGAGATGAAGATATTTTATTGTAGACAAAAAATAATCTATGTTTAAGTACTCCAACAAAATAACAACACTATATGATTGTTGATGTGAGTAGAGTGTGAGTTTAGATATGAGTTCTTGCTTTATTACTAATCTTAAACTCAACACCTTACTGCTTCATAAAGTCACTTAATGATAACTGATTCATTTTCGATATTTTCTAAGGAAACACATTTTTGTCCCATTTAATAATGATTCAAAGTTTTTCGCTGTTATTGTTGTCGTCATTTTTGTCGTTGGATGATTTTTTTTTGATCACTTTGACACATTGTGCTTTATCCCTTCTTCTGACGTGACTATCTATCATTAATTGTTTCTTTTCTCCTCTCTTTCTTAGTTGCATATAAAAACATGTATGGATGTATAAAGAAAAGTCATTATTAACACAAACGGAATAAAGCATAAATTCATCAAGATTAATACTCATTAAGCTGTTACAATGTCCTGTTTGAGTGACTTTGATGATTCATTCCAAGTGCCTGCATTTTATTCAGCCTATGTTGGCAATTTTCAATCACCTATCGATATTAAGTGTGAAGAAATGGTTACTCGACAATTTCCACCATTCAAATTTTCTTCTGCTCACCTATATGACATAATGTTTACATTAAAAAACGATGGTCATGGAGTTAAGGCAGTACTGCCAAAAGCTTATACAAGTCAATATCAAACGGATTTATCAGTTACTGGTGGTGGTCTAATTGGTAAATTTAACTTTGACAATTTTCATTTACATTGGGGTACAAATTACAGAGATGGATCTGAACATACAATCAATGGACAATCATTTGCAGCTGAAGCACATCTTGTCTATAAGAATCTTGAAACTCAAGAAATCGCTGTATTCGCACTCTTTTTCCATATTGTTCATTCAGTTTACGAGGAAAATAGTGAATGGAAGAAATATACGCATCTGGGAAGCTCATTAACAGAAGGTAATGCAATGAATTGCACTTTCAATCTAAGTCAATTGACGCAAATCAAGAGTAGAAATTTTGTTCGCTATATGGGTAGTTTGACAACACCACCTTACACTGAAGGCATTATATGGACAGTCTTTCTTGATGCGATTCCAATACTCGACACAAACTTAAACCTTCTTCGCTATAATGTGATGAGAAAAACTGATCGAGAAGTTCAACCAATAAATGGTCGGATTATTTACGTAAATTATGATAATGAACCGAGAAGTTACATGAATGACTAATTCTATTATTATCTTTGAAAAATAAAAAAGAAAGTGCATAACTAAGATACATGTACACATTTAATCATAGTTAAAATTGTAGATCATTATAATTCAGGTCACATCTATCTGAAACGAGTCTATCGAATTTTTTGACATAGGTTTTTGATGGTTAAATCATGTCTGATTAGCGATATATTATGAGAATTATAAAAAATACATTTATGAATAATGCAGAAAATATAACACTCTCGTTTGCAATTTAAAAATTAGACTTTTTGGATGCTACCAACAAGTTACATCGATCTTTTCGATATCTAATCAAATTTCTATGATTATTATTAATTTTAAGTTATTTAAATTTTTCCTCGTAACTTTTTAAACATTTTTTATAATATATTCTTATGAAAAAGAAATAGAAGAGCCAATTGTGATGTGAAAATGACTTATAAAATGTCATAAAGCATTTATTACAGTAGTGATAAAAAATTTTTTGAAGAGCCACAAATCATTTGCTTTGAAGAAATGCACTAATAACTCGATTGTTTAAAAAAAATCGAAATTTATGGAAATATTAAGAAAACCCTAATTTTTAAACTTTAGCAGAAAGTGTTACATTTTCTACACACCACTCTTCTATTTCAAATATACGAAAAAAAAATTGATTTAGCTTGGTCAGTAGCAGAGCTTTTGATATGTATTAAGATGTTCATGATTTTTGAAGTAACCTGTAGAATAGCTTAATAAGTCTATATAATGATTTCGACGAACTGTTGATGCATCACCAACATTTAGTGAACCTGATTTCTATTTAGTTAAATCAATTGAAAAATAAATAATTGATAATGTTTCATTTGAGACATTTTTGTAATACTCATATTGATCTGTCTCTTTGTTAATTATACTCCGATGATATTGAACATAGTATCATAAACGTTGTTGCTCAATTTCAATGAACTTGAGACTTTCGTTGATAGAATGTCATTATAAAATAATACGTATTTTGCATAGCTAGGTAATGGCTCGATGGAAGATAGTTGTAAAAATATGGTAAACAGAAAAACAAAGACGATGATCATAGTATGCGTGGTAGAATGATTTATCATTATTCTCATTTTCGTTAACTGATCGATTAACAATGTTAGCATTCTGAAACCAAGTAAAGTATCTAAAAGATTTCTTCAGTAATTTCATGAAAACTCAGATACGATTGCCAATAACTTTTCCAAATCAAATGATATAGGATTAATATTGTAGACGTGTATGAGTTTCATATACAGTAAAAAACCTTATGATTCTCCATCATTCTGTTCAATACATAGGAGCTTCACAATTTTCGAGATCATTCTAACACTTCAAAGCTACTGAAAATCTTGTAATTAGATTTTAGGAGAAATATTCAGGAGCAAAATCGTCTCATATCAATTAGAAAACAAGTTCTGTAGAAAGAGAATGAAAACGTGTTAAGAAGTATGAGTTTGACAAATGTTCCTTGTCCTATGAATAGCTACTAAAAAGTATCTAATAATTTACAGATCTTTCTCGATTGTTACTTGGCTATATTTGAGTTGACATAGTATTTATTTTTAACAAGTACCAAATGAACATATCATGACAGGCAGAATCGCTTCGGACTTTTCTTACAGCACCCAAAAGGGTCTTTCTTAACAAGAAAAATTTTTCAATTTTATTTTCATTTATTTTCTCAACATATTCACAACCAGATTGTAAGGTATTGTATTATAATGTTAATTATTCGCCTAACGACAATAATTTAAAACGATCCTAAAGCAATAATAATCGATTTAATGAAGATTAAACAAAACCCACTTATCAACATTAAATAATTCTGGAATTTCATCTCCTATTGATGAATATTTAGTCTTTAATGATAGAAAAACACATTATAGATTTCGAGTAGCTGTTGATTTTAACGACAAAGAACAACAAATCAACGATGAAATATCCATATTCGCATAGAATCGAGACTGTCTTCATATCAAGAAAACAACAATTTTAAGAGCAACACTATGAATCGATGTTGATTTTTTTTATAGTCTTTTTCTACAAAATCATCATTGTGAAGTTTTGTGGAATTTATGAATGTGTCATAAAACAGGTCTAGAAATCAGTTGTGCATTACACTCAGGTTGCAAATTAAAAATTTGCCTTTTTTTTTTTCTCTAAAATTTGACACTTGAAGTGCCTTTGCAAAATGCAGATCTTGCCATTTTATAAAAGTTATTACAAACGGCAAAACGAAATGGACAAACTTGAGAAAGAAGAAACAAGAATTATAAGAAGTCTTCTACCATCTACAATTAACATATGAAAAGATGAGGCAAGCTCAAGTTGAAATACAACATCAAATTAACATGATATATAAAAATAAAATCTATCAAATATTCAATGATTTAGAAGTATATATTTTGAAATCGTTTGATATATTTATTCAACTACGAGAGATATTATTCAGAATGAGGACCGACAACTTAATTGTTAATTTTGCAGAAAACTGAAGGTTTTTGAAAAAATCAAGAACAGATAATTTCTTACGTACTTGTGTAATAAAATCTACATACATATATTCTTGCTGTATTCGAGAAACGATTAAAACGAGGATTGATTCAAGTGAATAACAATGTGACTATTTTGATATCGTGTTTGAAGCCTCAAATGGAAAAATAAAAAAGGCAAATGTACTATTAACATAGATTCTTAAATTGAATTTCATTAGATGAACAACACTGTAATTTTTGTAATTTGATCTTCATTTATCGAAATGAAACTAATAATCAGTTTATTTTTATATAAATAAAAAGCTAACAAAAAAACAATATTTATTCGTCCAATCTGAGTTAATCTTTGGTACGCAATGCTTGAAAATCATAAAAGATATAAGTGTAAATTATAGTCATGATGAAAGTTTATCATTTCATTATAGAGTAAACGAAGTACGATGTTGTAATGAAATTAAAAATATGTTACTTTCTGTTGATCGTAGTATGCCACAGCAGTTCATTTTAACATTTTAATAATCATCCTTCTTAATCGATGGAAATGATCAAAGCGAGCTATAATTAGGATGAGTCATCCATTGTAATATTTGCTTTTTTTACTCATTATACTTTCTAGAAGTCAATACTAGTCAGCATACAGTAATGTCGTATACTAAACTAACACTTGACATAGAAATGTTAAGCCACTTGTATTTTCAACAGCGCGATCATGATGGTATTATATATTAATTACTATACGACTATATAATAAACTAGAATGTGGATGCAGATTTGGACATTAGTCTTCTCTTCAGCAGTAATGACATCCTGCACAAAGTAGAATCCAACGGGAAAGATATAAAAATATGCATTTCCAAAGATTCCATTGTACTAATTCTATACGCCCTAAGGTATGTTCGTGTAACTAAATTTTAGGATGTGGGTGTTCTAGTTTCTCACCCTCATACTTACACCCCCACCCCCACACCCCACACCCACACCCTTGTTCCCACAGGACTCTAGCACAAAGTCAACTTCCGTCGATCAAATTGAATTGTTATTGAAAAAGATTGATTGACAATTTTTTTCCAACAGAAACGCCTGCACGGTAGGGCTACGCATCCAATAACCTGTTCTGTCCGATTTTAAGCCAACTGCAATGCGATCCATTAGAGGATATAGATGAAGACAAAATAGAAGGCAAAAGTTGTACTCTTAACTGTCATTGCATTTCATTCTTTCTCAGAATATTATCAAGTTCAGGTTAATAATGGTAAATCTCTACAAATAGACATCGAGTATCAGTTAAATGCAATTTTTCTCGATATACCATTCCTATCACAGACATCTATGTTCGTCATTCAATGTTTATCTCTTCTTCAATATGCAGAAACCATTGAAAATTTTCTGAAAAATCTCGTTCACAAGTTTAGCAATGCTGATCGAGAAGATTAAAAAGTTGTCTATGAACCTTTTTCGGCGTAACTTCAATCGAATTGTATCTGTGTGTCATTTCAACAATTTATTACGGATGATTCAACGAACTAAAGTTACGTAGACAGAAAAAAGAAAAATACGTAGCTAGTACATATTTGGTCTCAGGAGAATATTTTTACAACACATTCATAATAGAATCCGTCAATTGAGACTTTATATTCACTAATGCTTGTTTTTAATATGTATCTGGTCGAATTAAAAAGTAAACTTCACTAGTGTATGTGAACTAATCATCATGATCATCTGATCATACCGAATATTCCTATACTTGAGACTGATTAGTCGATGTTAATGAAATTATTTCAAGGAAAAGGTTATGGTTTGATAGTCGCATAACCTTGATTATTAACGCGTATTTTTTCTAAAGTTTGATGAGACTGCTGAAAATATTCAAAATAGTTTCAATTTAGTTGAATTAAAAACTGATCGATTCGTTGAGTATTGGATCAACCAATGTCTCTCACTCAAATGCTAACAGCGCAAGAAGAAAATGGTTTTATTTTTGTACCATGTGTTATTTTATTCATAAACATGCAATTCAATTAAACAGCAATAAGACAACGACGTGCTCGCGTAGTGAGCAATGAAGACAAAACCATGCGTTGCAATGTTGTCGTAACACAAATATAGTTAGATGACAAAACACAGAAGAATCGAGGTAATATCAAGTTCTTAGTTTTGGTTTGTTTGATCAATCAAGATAATTGATGATTTCATAGTCCTAGACTATTTGCAATTTTGAGGGCTGCGAAAATACACCTACAACTTGTATTCACTTGTCTCTACCATAAGCATACCATTCATGTACTTTATGTACTACGTAATATGTACTCTGCATAGATCCCCCATGTACTCTGAAAAAATCTACAATTCTAGAATTCATGTATTCTACATGAGAACATAGGTATGTAGGGTACATAGTATGTAGAGCACATGAATTCTAGAATTCATGTACTCTACATGCATGTACTCAACATACACCTCCACATGTACTCTCAAAAAATCTAGAATTCTACAATTCATGTGCTCTACATACTATGTTCTCATGTAGAATACATGAATTCTAGAATTCTAGATTTTTTGACAGTACATGGGGGTCTATGTAGAGTACATGCGTGTAGAGTACATGAATTCTAGAATTCTAGGTTTTTTCAGAGTGCATGGGGGAGGGGGGGGGGTATGTAGAGTACATAGTATGTAGAGTACATGAATTCTAGAATTCTAGATTTTTTCCGAGTACATAGGGCATGGGAGTCTATGTAGAGTACATGAACTCTAGAATTCTAGGTTTTTTCAGAGTACATGGGGGGGGGGGGGGGGGGGTGGATAAAGATTAAAGAATATAGATGGACTCTAAATACGTATACTCTTCTCACACTCCCCCCCCCCCTCCTCCATTTACTCTGGAAAAACCTAGAATTGTAGAATTCAAGTACTCTACATTCTATGTACTCTACATAGCCCCCCTCCCCCCCTGTACTCAAAAATTCTAGAATTCACGTACTCTACATACTATGTTCTCATGTAGAATACATGAATTCTAGAATTCTGGATTGTTTGACAGTACATGGGTGGTCTATATAGAGTACATAGCATGTTGAGTACATGAATTCTAGAATTCTAGGTTTTTCATAGTGCAGGGGTAGGTCTATGATTGTAGTGGGAAAAGTGAATACAAGTTGTACTCGTATTTGCGCAGCTCTGGCTATTTTCTTATCATCAACATCACACAATAACGGAGTGTGGGTGGGTGTGGGGGTGAGGGTGTGTGGGTGTGGGTGGGTGTGGGGGTGAGGGTGTGTGGGTGTGGGTGGGTGTGGGGTGAGGGTGTGTGAATGTGGGTATGGGTGTGGGTATGTGAGTGTATATGTTAGTGTGTGTGTTCTGCTTCTTTAACCCATACCCACATCCACACCCACACCCACATCCACCCACACCCACACCCACACCCACACCTACACCCACACCCACACCCACCCCACACCCACCCCACACACCCACACCCACCCCACACACCCACACCCACACCCACACCCACACCCACACCCATCCCACACACACACCCACCCCACACACCCACACCCACACCCACACCCACACCTACACCTACACCCACCCACACCCACACCCACACCCACACCCACACCCTCCAATTTGTTTCACTTGAAACAGCAACGAAGAAAGAACGAAAGACAGAGAGAAAGGGATACTGAGGCAATGCAACATAGCAAGTATAGATGTGACAAGTTAAATGCGTTGGGGTTTACGCACAGCCGGCTCGGATCTAGCCGTCCTTCCATAAGACCGCTAAAACTTCAGTTACACCGATGCACTCCTCAACAATGTACATGCATCCGGTGTGGGTGTGGCTGTTCTCTTCCCTTACACACATTGTACCACACACACACAGTATAATGAAGATTAGTTTTAATTGGAGACTTTGCCACTCTGCCTTCCACAGCAACCGGATTCCAAGGTTACTGGATATGTTTCTGTAGCAATTGAAAACAACTGATACTGCACCCATTTTCCAGAGTTTCTTAACAGCAGAAAATGGTGCTGAACGATAGGGACGATAAGACTAAGACTGTTCTAGAACATTCCGAAACCTTTGTCGAAATATGAATGACTGGGATACGTTTGCGAATATTCTAAATAGTGCTGTTGTCGTATAATCAATATACACAGTGAAGGGTGTGGGTGTGGAGTAGATTAATGAAAGAACAATGAAACTGGTACCGTAGAATATAATTAAAATGGGGTGTGGACGTAGATATATCTTCTCTCCAGCCACAGCAACATCCACACTCACACCTTCGCAACAGTTCACACCATTGATTCAGACCTTTAGTCAAAGCAATGTACGCATCTGTTTCGTTGGTTCATTGTATTGTTGGCCATATATTAACAAAATATACGTCCTCGCTCAACGATTTAGCAGATCTGCTTGACGGCTTCTAATTTGATCAAACTTAGAAACCTTTTTCTAGCTATAATAACATTTTAGTAAATGTTTATTGATAGATACATGAATGATTGACATGATTTCTGGTAGTTGTTACAGGATGAAATTTTTTTATTTTATGATCATCAATAAAAACTTTCTGCCTAACGTATAATATTCGTTCAACGATCTAAAGTAAATCTAATACTTGCTAAGTAGAAATGAAATCAGTGAGGTTTCAAAGCGAAACAAAATTGGATCGACCGGAACTAGACATGTGCGGGACCAACTTTTTTTGGTCCTGGTTCCGGTCGCGGTCCCGGTGAAATTGAATTTTTGGTCCCGGTGGAAATTTTCCTTTTGCTGCTGATTCCGGTGAAATTCTGTTTTTTAGTCCTAGGCTCAGTTAACACATTCGCTACGATGTTGCCTAACAGTGAGCCACGCTACATTTTAACGAGAAACTGTATAGAAAAGTACTTTATTTTTCTTTGTTCTTAGATAGGAGGTTGAACATAATGCTTTATCTGTTCTGCCTTCAGAACTCTTTTTGAGTCCGTTATTCCATAGCATGATGGGTCTTGTTAAAAAAATCAAGACAAAAAAAATTGTTGCTCACAACAGAACGTTTTTACTTTCTTTGCTACCGCATAGCTCGCTTCTCTTGACTGTTGTGCCCTTCCTTTCACAAAGCAGCCAGTACAGCGTCTGCGGACATTGCCCTTAAATCCTTCCTTTTCTTCGAGCTTGCGATTAGTGAATTCGCGCTTGAATTGGGTTGCTGATTCAACTTCTCGAATGGCATGTCATGCCGAAATGACCTCACAGGAGTTTCGCCAAACTACAGGATGGTTACTTCGCTACATGTGATATTACAAATAGAAAAGAGAAAACGACAGATCAGCATAGGATGAAAAGACCAAGCAGTGCATTTATCGCAAGATGAATGCAGATGAAAATGAATCTCTAGAGCTACTCTTTAATAAAACCGAATCGCGTCGAATGTGTTAAATTTGGTTTTTGTTTTACACCCAGTCTAAGTAACCTTACTTTTTCTGTTATTTGTCCATAGTCAGAGAAGTTGTTGCAGAATCTGCCGGTTTTAGATCTGGAGCAGTTCTCACTTGTATATCCACCGATGTTTCTTATCAACGGCAAACATGACCGGGACTAAATTGTTTTTCGATCCTGGTCTCGGTCCCAGTAAAATTATATTATTTGGTCCCGGTCCCGGTCCCGGTAAAATTCTATTTTTTGGTCCCGCACATGTATAATCGGAACCGTTTAAAAACTCAACAGGTTAACTTTGATTAAACAAACAAAATGCAAACAAATTCCACCTATCTGACTGATTTACATAACAACAAAACATTAGACCAATATTAACCAAAGACCGATTAATTAGTCTATACATTCTTTAAGAAGTTCAATTTACATAGGGTAGTCAAAAAGTTCTGCAAACAGCTGTCTAAAATTTCATCCTAATTGGTTTTATTCCTCATGTTGGCCTATTCTAATAGTGACATCTCTTATGTATTAAAATACCAATACGAAGTTTCACAACTGTCTATTATGGCAAATTTTCAACGAATTTTTTGAACACCCCTGTTTTCAGATGGAAAAACAGTACATAGGCTCATATATAAAAACTCGTTGGTTATTAGGTTTAACAGCTACACAAATTCATGATGAATTAACTACTGCTTATGGACAGGATGTAGTTTCATATTGTACAGTTACTCGATGGATTCAACGATTTTCAAATGAACGGGAATCTTTGGAAGATAATCCTCGAAGTGGTCGTCCATTATCCGCCATCATTCAACAAAATATTGATGCAGTTAAAGATGTGGACCATTACTTATTCTTGAATTACCTTCTGGAACATCAATTAATGCTATTTATTATCGTGATGAATGTTTAAAAAAGCTAATCAAAAATTTATATAAGAAAAGACCATCATCAACAGCAAATCATGTTAAGCTGCATCATGATAATGCACGACCCCATGTGAATGATATTGTTCTTAATTGTCTTCAAGAAGAAAAAATCAAAGTTATGGCTCATCCACCATACTCATCTGACCTTGCTTCTTCAGATTTTTGGTTGTTCAGTTATCTGAAACGTAGCCTTGATACTTATCCAGATGCTACAAGTTTAGCTAAAGCGTTATCCAAGGAGCTCAATTCAATACCTATTCACCAATACCAAAAGACATTTCAGAAATGGATTCAAAAGATGAAACTTTGTATTGAACATCATGGGGACTACTTCGAACATTTACTGTAAAAAGATTAGCAAAACATTTTGTCTATGAATAAATATTTGAAAGTTGCAGAACTTTTTGACTACCCTATGTAACACATTTCTCTTTGCATATGTCTATCGAAACTCAATTTTTTTTATATTCAGTCAAATGTTTGTGCTGATTTGTTGTATTCAGTATTCCATTAATTGAGCATGAAGATTTGCTTTTGTTAATCGTGTCATGTAACTTGATCACCAATGTCGTATATTATATGACGAGATCATAATGGTTGCTTTTTAAAAATGAAACAGCAATATTTATTTGAAGACAAAAAATTTCTTTTAATAAATAGGATGCTTATTAATTATTTTTGCAATATGTTTAATAATATCTTGTGTTCGAGGACTTATTTCTTGTCGATTTTTCTTGACTCCGTATTTATTGACAATATAGGCAAATGCAAGTTTTTTTTCAGGAGCAGCAAAACCAATGCTTCCACCAGCTCCTAAAATAAATAAAGATTAATATATTGATTTTGATTAATAATCAACAAATAAACCTTCATGGCCAAATATTCCTGATCCAAATGCCTTTAAATCTTTATCAAAAACTTGAAATCCCATCGCAAATACATTAGGAAAACCTCGTACAAGATCAATTTCATTCTCAGGTGTATTTGATTTTGCTGCTTTCTTCATAATATCTTCATTCAACAATCGTTTTTGTTGTCGATTATCTAAGTCTCCGAGTAAAGAAGCATAAAGTCTTGCAACAGATCGAGCATTTGTTATTCCATTAACACCTGGAATTTCTGCTTGATGATAACGATAATCATTAAATACACTTAACTCTAAAAGAGTTCTTTCATCTATAATATTTCTCACATTAGAATCAAAATATAATGGTGACACACGATATTCTTTTTCTTTTGGTAAACCAATATAAAATTCGATTTTTAATGGATTTGTAATTTCATCCTGAATAAATTGTCCAAAAGTTCGTTTCTTCGGATCGACTCTTCGTACAAGTTCTCCTGTTAACCATCCATAAGTTAAACCATGATATCCATGAGCTGTTCCAGGTGTCCATTCTGGTTTTCTTTGTTCAAGTATATGAATAATCGCTGTCCAATTAAGTGCAAGCTCAAATGGACTAATATCAGATGATAATCCAGCACGATGTGAAAGAATATCAGCAACTGTTGTATTTTCTTTTCCATATTGTCCATATTCTGGCCAATATTGTCTAACAGGTGATGAATAATTGAGTAAACCTCTTTGAACACATAATGCAACAGCTGTAGCTACTAAACCTTTTGTTGTTGAAAAAGGAATTTGTAACGTATCGTGGTCATAAGGTTTGCTTTTTAATTCATTGAACCAACCACCCCACAGATCAACAACTGGTTTCCCTTCATAGTAAACTGCAAATGATGCTCCCAAATCATGTTCTTGGTGAAAATTCTCTAGAAACAAATGTTGAAGAAACTCCCATCCAGGGTCAGTTTTACCATGAACACTACAATTTTGATGATTAAAAGCGAAAATAGTTGAAATAAGAAGGGGCCAAGTCCATAGAATATACATGTAATAAAAATTGATTCGTATTAACAATCGATATGAAGAAACTTCACAAACATAAAAAGGAATATTGCTTTCCTATATTAGATGAAACAGATCCATAGTAAATATCAAATGGTTTAAGAGAAAGATTTCAATGACTAATAGTTAATCGTTTCAACTTATCATCTCAGTTTGTTTTTATCTCTTGAAAGTTTAATCAATGTTTCAGTTAAATTCTTGATATTGATCACTCCTATTCGTTTTTCTTTGAATATTACTTATTACAAAAACAAATAAATCCAGTAAGATAAAGTTCTTGCTCTTGTCTATTCGTCTCTAATGTATAGATTGTCATCAGTCATTTCATTTCATCACTAGTACTTGATTGATGAAAGTAGAAAAATGTCAAGAGATTGGATAGTGAAGACCTTATTCTGGTCTGTCGAAGGATTTATGTTACTTTAAAATGTAACTGATATTGTATACCCATTCTTATTATAATCCATTTTCAGTTAAAGACTCTGTTAACTATTGATAAATCTGATGTTCTTTTCAATCTTTTAAAACTACGTTCTTAATCGACTATTTTCTATCACAAGATTCAAAGAAAAAAGTTTGTTAACACAGTCTCTTTGGGGCTGAAATGTGGAATCCAAATATTTCCTATAAGCTAGAATACTCAAAAAGTTTAAAACTAATTTCTAAAGTCTGCAATGGGATGGGAAGTCGAAAAATTTCGACGTAAAACTTACACTCACTATTTTCTTTGAAAATACATGTGTTTCACAAAAAAAAAATGATCCTCTTTCATCGTTCGAATATTCTCTTCATCAGTAAGTTCAATTGGATTATTTTGAGAGCCGGTTTTATTAATCATGTATTGTAATGAAAAATATTTGTGACTGGTTTTTTGTTTTTATTCTCTCCTGTAATCTAAATTCGTCGATGATAATCGACTTCGATTATCAAAAACCAGTTGACTATAAAAATAAATATCGCAACTATCTTGAGGGTGTGGGTGTACATCTTCTTTTGAGCTACACCCCACCCACACCCACACACTCACACATCCACGCATCCACACCCTAATCTCAATCACAACTAGTTTTCTTACTCAGGCAAGCATTGCTGACGAATATACATTGAATATAGAACAACGAGCCGCATTTATGATAATAACAAGTCATCTTGATGGTGACAGCCGATGTCGCACAGGTAATTTTATAATACAAATCTTCATTAATCGAAGTAAACAATATTTTTAGGTGACAATAACGGTCAGCTCATAATGTTCATACCTGGATGTGGTGGTACAAGCAAATCGCAACTGATTCGTGCTCTTACCAAATACTTACTTATTACAAAAAGAATGCAAATGATGAGAGAACTCGCGCCTACTGGAATTGCTGTTGCTGAAATAGATGGCATGACAATTCATTCATTTTTGGGTGAACAACGTAATTCAGGAAAGGCAAAAACCATAAAACCAGGTGATTTAAAACTTGAGAAAGAATGGAGACTTGTCGAATATCTCTTACTTGATGAGATGAGTATGGTTGGTTGAACCCTATTAGCAAAAGGTAACAGAATTGTATGTGCTGCAAAACAAGTCGATCCTCAATTTTCATTCGGTGATGTGAACGTCATCTTCTTCGGCGATTACTTACAATATCGGCCTGTATATGATGCACCATTACACACCGATTACTAATTGCCATCCAAAAATAAATCGGGCAAATCGCCCAATGAAAAAGAAATTCAACAACGTATCGCACATTCTTTAATTCTTCAAATTCACTGTGTTGTAAAGCTTACTCAACAGATGCGAACAGAGGATTTACAATATCTTCAGCTGCTCGGACGGCTTCGTCATGGACAATGTAATTACGACGATTATGAATTATTGCTGACACGAGTAGTTGAACAGCCATCGATAGCTTCTCTAGATGATTCACCGTGGAATAAATTGCGTTTTCTTTTTCTTTTTGAGACAAATTTTTATCTTAGTCTTTTTCAGACTCCCATTCTCGTGTTTCGAATTGAAGTACGAACACAATTGTATAACAAGACAGCAATTCACGATACAGTACAACTGGGTTACACACTAATGGTGTATGTCGCTCAAGATACTGGCAAACAGGGCTCGAAACGGGCCACCCGGCCCGGTGATCCGGCTCGGCTCGGTCCGACCCAGACCCGGCCCAGCCCGGCCCAAGAAGGTCTTTATTCCGGGCCGGGCGGGCTTCAAATTCTTCCGAGCCGCCCGGTCCGAACTTTATTTCTGTTTTGCAAGGGAAATCTCTCACACAAGACAAAAAAAAAGATTCTAGTCGACTTCTTCCTAGCTAAAGATCGATTGAGTTGGAATTGTCATCATTTAATCAAAATTAGAGTAACTAGTTAATTTTCACTTGATTAAAATGGTGGTGGTCGTAAAACAGGTTTTTCTCGGGTTTTAAGTTAGGAACTCTAACCTCTGTTTTTTTCGAACTGCCTAGCTTAGTAGATCGTGATTATCACACTAGCCTAGACTTTGACACGTATAGCAGGCGTTAAGATAGACATCAATTAATACTGACTTGTGTAAGAAAAAATATCGATAAATTAGATTAGAATTAATTTTTTTATGAACAAGTGTCAATTAAAATGACACCATTTGGATCCAGTCAGAATCTGATTTGTCAGGTTCAAGAATAGATATCATTTGATTTTAATCATTCTTGATCAGTTTCTAAAAACCAATTTCAATCAATAGGACTTTATTATTCGACTAAAAATCGATTTAAAATAGTAAAATCAAATGAAATCTATTTTTCATGTTGAAAAATTCATTTTCAGTAAGAATTAAGTGACATCGTTCTAATCGATTTTTAACAAAAAAAAAGATAATCGGTTTATTTAAGTTTTTCATTGGCATTTTGTTACATGTGTTGTACATCTCAGAATTGTTAACGATCAAGAAGCTTCACCATGTGAACGCTTTGGAAATTTCATTTAGGCAATAAATGAAAACAAAGTATTTATTCAGTATGATAACACCTCATTCACAGAGAAAATAGAGTGAACTATTAACTGTATTAAGCCACATAAACAGTATTTAAGTGGAACAGTTTTAGCTGTATACTAAAATTAGCAGAGAAAGTAGAAATATCAATCCATGTGACTCATTGAATTTGACCAGTTGGTGTTTCACTTCTGTGAGGTTTGTGCTAATAAATAATAGTATTCCAGAAGTTGAAGTGTCGATGGATTCATCTTACTCTATTGATTCAGTAAGTAATTTGACTTATCTACCAGGTTAACTCTGATTCCGAAACAATCACACGAAAATCTTTCGCCTTTTTCATCTACCAGGCTTTTTTGAAGACTTAGAATTGTCTCACCTTATTCAAGTCGTGATCATCATGATCATAAGTAACGTTATTATAATGATTTGAAAAATTACAACAGTGTAGGGATGATCAATTTTGCATTTATAAAAACTTAATAAGTCCAAAAATTAATTTTTAAAAATCTAAATCTAAAATAAATTTAAGTTTTCAGGTATGAGAGTTTAAATTTATTTTAAATGTAAATTTGTAAATTTACATTTAAAATTAGTTTAAGTTCTGACATCCAAAAAGTTAAATTTATTTTAAATTTAACTTATTGAAATTCATATAAATAAATCAAATTTTAAATTTATTTATCTCTTCAACGTTCAAATCTATACTTGATTTAAAATTCAACAAGTTTAAAATTAAAATAAATCAAGGAGAAATAACCATCTCTAAATCCAGTGATATTGGGTTCCGTCATGTGAAAACCTTCTTTATAAAAGAACTATAATGATAATAGTGCCATTGTTATTCGGGCCGGGCCGGGCGGGCACGGTTAATTGTTCGGGCGGGCCTGGCTGGGCCATCAAAAATTGGCCCGTTTCGAGCCCTGCTGGCAAAGGTAAACCAATCGAAGATTCTGTACTCATAAAAAAACTGGTACAATTATCCAATAGTAAAACAGAACATTTACCTGGTTTGTTACCTTTTATTTCTGAAATGCCTGTTATTTTGACACAAAACATTACTATTGAACTTGGTCTTATCAATGGCATTAATGGGATCTTTCGACAATTAGTCTACCAGACAGATTCTATGTCAACAGGTGTTTTATCCGAAACATTCCCGAACAATACACAATGTACTCATAGACCAGTATATGCATTGATTGAAATTGCCAAATCGAAGATTGAATGTAATCTTGAAGAACTTCAACCGAAGTTTGTTTCAATACCGTTAATAGAGCAAACATTTCGTGTCGATATTGCTGACATTCTCCCAAAAGATAAGAAGCCAAAATCAAATCAAAAAGCAATTTTATCAATTAAACGACGTGCACTACCACCACTTGTGCTTGCTTATTGCATCACGACAATAAGAGTCAAGGCCAAACTTTGAATAAAGTCGTGATCGATCTTAAACTGCCAAATGAAACTGAAGATATTGCCGCAGTTTATGTACCATTATCTCGTGTACAATGTTTAGTCGATCTAATTATCTTACGGCAATTCGATTACAAGGCTTTACTAATTAAACCAAGTAAATCTCAACTCACCGAAATGGAAAGACTGGATCAACTGTATTTAGAAACACAAACGTTTTTCTCAGTGGTTTCAATGATTTTCCTGTATCCTATGAAAACTCTTGTTATTCGTGTCTGTTTTTTCTGTGTATAATTTTCTTTTCGTATGTATTGACGCTATTTTCTATACATTTAAACATTGTTTTTTCTGTATTAATGCCTTGTATCTATTAGTATTGTTTTTTATTTTTTTTGATTATGGTGTGGAATGATATTTACTAGATATAGATATCTAATGGTTTTAAGTCTTTTTTTTTCATTTTTTTTCGGTCGCAAATTGAATATATTTGTGCCGTGTCACTGGTTATAAAACTTTTGATATAAACATTCCCAGTTACAGTACGAACTCATAGCACTCAGTGAACCATTCTATAAGACAATGCAACTACAATGATGCATAGATCTGACTAAAAAGATATTCATAAAAGTACAATTGTGATTGATGTTTGGGGTGTGCAGTGTGGGTGTGGGGGTGGGGGTGTGAGGGCGTGAGCGTAGATGGGGGCGTGTGTGTGTGAGCGCTTCGAACACGAGGCACACCCACACCCACCCACGCCCCACACCGGCGTCATGACTGCTGTACTTATATAAGCCATCTGATGAGACTCGTAGCGGAGCCGAAGCACGTGTCATTGCTGCTGTACTTATTACTTTGTACACTTCTTAAAAGAGAATATGACGTCATTTAACTGCGCAATAGTAAGTAGAACATGAGAATTTCAATGATTTTTATTGACTAAATAATGGAAAAATAGAATGACATAGATATATATAAGACGAGTAAAATGGACAAGCAAAGAGAAGAGAAGAAAGACACGCGCGTGCACACACGGACACCGATATATATACACTCGCATAAAGAGAAAGAAAGAAAATAATGGATATCGTTAGAGTGCTCTTTAACATTCCCTAATAAAGAAAATTTTTTATTTTTAGTTTATTCAAGACAAAGAAGATGATTCTCATTTTTTTTATATAGTTAAGGTATAGACAACGATTGTTAATTTTTGGTTAGGTGAGATGTCGAAAGTATTCTTGTTTTGTCGTTGAGTTGAGATAAAGAAATAGATTCTTATCTTTTTCTTTAATTGAGATATGCAAACAGATTTCTATTTTTTATATTTACTTGAGATGTATACATAGATTCTCATTCTTCGTTTAGTTGACAAATAGGAATAGACTCTTATTGTTTTGTTAAGTGAACCTTTCTGGATATAGGATAGGTTTCCTATACCACTTTTTACGGTATAGAAGCATCTCCTGAACCCGTTCGGAAATTCTTCGGAAGGGTATATAAAAGGGTTTATTAGAATCATAAAAATCGTAAACAGGGTTATGAAAGTGCAACGTATAGTAAACTCTTTGAAAATTGACCGTTCTACGCCTTCTTAAAGATATACTGCTGGCCAAAAAAACGGTAAAATGGCCATAACTCCAGAAGGACAGTGGGTGGATACAAATCCTTCTAGGTTATTCTACCCTGAATAGATTCTACCCAAAGGGGAATGTCTGATCTCAAACACCAGGTTACACGTCGAGCGATTTCCCTTGTGAGGGTACCCTGGGCAGCTCTTAAAAACTGACTAATGGTATCACATAAAAAGTTACTAAGGGTACCCCGGATAGCCCTTAAAAAGTTTCGAATACCACTACTAGATAGTGCTCAAAAGGGTCGAGAAAACAATCTATAAAACATCTTCGAAACAATCGAGGATACTTGTTGGCAACTTTCTGCGTTAAATATAAGGAATACGATAAAATGCGGATTGTGGACTCCAGTTTGGCTGACGCCAACTTTGGTTCACTTCATACGACCCCATCATTTCTTCACCCGCACCCACCCTCGAGCCGGCTAATCTTCCAATATCGTTGTTCTACATGCCATATTTGACTATGAATGAACAGCAAGGACATCTGTCGATCTGTCATCATCCTCCAATCTGTAGACTCACCTATGATTCTTCTGACTTAGTCTTGTTTTCGTCAAGAGTATGACTCAAATTATCATATCATATCAAACAATAGTGTCCCGACATCGAAAAAAGTTGTTCCTCATTTTCCAAAAAGTCGTTTCGTTATTCCATCAAGAGTTTTTATCGACTATCAGCAAAAACTTTTATTGCACAATTCAGAACATCAAACATGGCATCAGCTACATGGAAACAACCATGCATGAAATGTTACAAGAGTGGAGGTGTTGCAACTTGTGGTGGATGTCAAAGATGGTTCTGTGGAAAACACTTCATCGAACATCGTCATGAGTTGACCGCGAAAATGGATGATATTGGACAAGAGCATGATCTTCTTCGACGAGATCTTCTTCAAGAAAACAATGTACAATCTCTTCTATCTCGCATAGACGATTGGGAAAAAAAGTCCATCAAAAACATTCAAGAAGCGGCAGAGAAAGCTCGAGCCGATGTACGCGAATCGATTGAACATAGCAAACAACAATTGCAGCCAACTCTTCGCCAAGTGGCTGAACAACTCCAAGTAAGTCGAGAATCCGACGACTACACAGAAATAGATTTGGAGCACTGGATTGAGAAGCTGAAAGAAATTCGAAAGCTGCTCGAGGAACACTCATCGATTGAAATTTCCGAGGATGTTCCAACGCAGTCACTCGTCTGTCGAATACAAGTGAAGCAGTCTACGACAAAACAAAATGAAAAACATTTATTGGAAGAAAATTTTATTGAAACAATATCGAGTAAGTGATCTCTAATGCTCAACATTTTTGAACTCTTGGTCGAATCTGAGAAGCAGATTGTTATACACGAGTCTTCATATGTTTAATTCGTACTGTATTGTAACTTATCGAATCTTATGAAGCATTAAACCAACAGAATGCTTGTTTGCTCGGAGAGCATGTCAAATTATTCGATTCAAAGTGATAGTTTGTGTTGTGCAACAAAATATTTTTCAGTCATTTTCTGATACAAATATTCGATACGATACTTCTAACACAACTTAGGGCTGTAGATGATGTTCTCTATCTTTTACGACAGCAAGCTTTTTTAACGAGAAAAGTTTTCAACAGATCTATAGAAATCAATTCAGAACCATTTATCAATAGGTCAGCAGCGATTATCTGATGTGTCACCGTGTCTGTTGCATTATCCAAATATTGTCTTTAAAAGTCAGCGCAAGGGCCATGCACTCAAGCGACTCGCCAAAATGTTTAGCAATACATCATCAGTAGTACAAAGCAAGGCCGAAATCGATACCTACATTCGAGTATGCTAGGAGTTAAACAGACTTCTTTTATGTATGCATGCTTTTTTTCATTATTAGAATCAAAAGGATCATTTTAAGTTAGAAATTCTTGTGCATTGTTATCTGGCAGCATGGCACAAGCAGCAGAAGGTAGCCGAGAAAGATGCTATATTCCATCAGTATTTAGCTACTATTAAAAAATACATCACTAATGATTCATGTCATCTGAAAGTCGTCTTGGGAGTGCAAGTATTCTTTAACGAAAGTTACTTTACGAATATCACTGCTCCCCCGCGTAAGTTTACTATGTTCGTCTTCTCTACGACATGATTACAAGAGTGTATTCGATTCTCTAGAGGAAATCATGGCCATCATCTTGAACTTTCTTCTTGACAAACAGTGTACAACTAAGCGTGCCTTGTTGCAATGGTATACTAGCGATGATGTGTTTAGTTACATCGGATTCAAACAAGCGCAGCGATTAGCTAAACCATTTATACAGATGCTTCAAGAAGACGGTGAGATTATTTTTCATGAACGTAGTTTCTGTCCGAGATAAATTCGTTTTCTATTATCTGGTTTTCTAGTAGTGCCATCAAATTCAACATCACTAGCGTCATCGAGCGGACAAGCGATATTCAGCGAATACGGAAGTGTTCGCTTTCACCTACAGAAGCGTCGCAGTCTTGCAGCCACACCAGAGTTGATCAAGTTCTTTCGTGTTGTGCCCCTGACAAACGAACATGCACTCAATGCTTACTATCAAGTATAGTAATACTAATGTCCACGCCAGAATGAAAGAGGGGTGGGTCTAAGCGCAATATCTCGATAACGGCAATAGTTAACGACCTGCAGCTTTCACCAATTGACAGAGGAGAAGTTGGGATATCTTTTTCCTCGATCATATATAAGACAAAATCCTTTTAAAACTAATCATCTTCGAAAAATACAGAAAAGAATGCATGAGGATGGCCTGCCATCTGACTGAAATTTTGATTTTGACCTTTGATTTAGATAGAGGGACTTGACATCTATAGTTTAAGGTAAAATGCTCTTTCTTACTTTCCATTAAGTTTTCATCGAAATGTCAAGCTATTATGGTAAAAAGTGTGAAAAATTAATAAAAAACCAGCAAAGTTTCCTATGATTTGTGCATAAAAATAAATTCTTCCATTTGTTCAACCGTATAATGTAATAAGAGAACCATTTGCATTGTATCTTGAACTACAGATCTCAGGTTCCTCTATCTAAATCAAAAGTCAAAATCAAAATTTCACTTAGATGGCAGGTTATTTTCGTGCATTCTTTTACATGTTTTTCGAATTTGATTAGTTTTAAAAGGATTTAGACTTTTATATGGTCGGGAAAAGAGATATCCTGACTTGTCCTCTTTCAACTGGTGAAAACCGCAGGTCGCTAACTATTGCCGTTATGGAGATATTGCGCTTACATCCACCCCTCTTTCATTCTGACGCGGACATTAGATCAGTTCGTTGAAAGTTCAAAACACCTTGAATGTGTTAAATAAGGTGCGATAGCAAAGGAGCTTAACGCCGTGCTACGAAAGAAATTGATGTGATGTTTTATGATGTCCTGTTTCAGAGAACAAAGAAAGAGGACAGGTTAATTGGAGTGATTCGCGCTTATCTTGAAGCATGGTCCACTACTACTAATCCAAGTGATAAGAGCACAATTCTAACCACACATATTTGGACGATAAAAAAGCGAATCACTACAACTATGGATGAAATGTTTGTCATGGTGGCGTTACAACTGTTTTTATTCAATGGCAAAGCCGATGATCTATGTAAGAATGCATTCCAGAAATGTTTTTTAAAGTATAGATGATTTATTCTTTAATAGCACGACTTTTTGCAGTACTTACTCAATTCTTCCTCGATCAAAAATGTGTCACGGAAACGACAGTGTTCAAGTGGTACGACGGTAACGTAGCAATATCTTACCATGGCTTCGAAGAGATCCATCCATTGGCTCAATCTTTCATAGAAGAATTGAAGGTTCGGTCAATGATGAAAATCGCACCTCAATGCGACTAGATTTCATTGCTATTTGCAAGAGTAAATGCAGTGAACCACAGACGATTTGAAGACAACGAGTGTCAGTGTGGCTAATCGCTGTCGTTCCGTTTGAATTCTGCATTACGACGATTCGGTTTTGATTGCCTAAATGTATTAAATAAATAATGAATGAATGAAATCCAGATTTCTTCTTCGCAAATCTAAACAGAATCTGCTACAATCATTTCATAATTCTGGTTCCAAATCTAGTTTAGATTCTTGACAGAATCTACAGTGTATTTTGCGAGGATCTAACCTTTTCAATTCAGAGAAATATTTGGGTAGAAACGTATGGAAATTCTGAACAGGATCCGAATTAGGGGTAATGGTGTGCCGATGAAATGAGAGAAATTGTCACAATACTATATAGAGTATTTTACTATTATTGATAAAGATTATCAAGTGGCAGGAACTAGTATAAAAGATACATTGAACAATCAAAACATAGTCCTAAAATTCCTCTAGAAATAGCCGAAATATCACTATCTTGAGGGTGAGAGGACAAGGCGCTATGGGGCCAATGCACCGCGCAAGCTCCAGTTCAACACAAAATACAAACGTGTCCGAGGTGGGACTCGAACCCGCGATCTTCTGATAACATGTCGGCTGCTCTACCACCTGAGCTACACGGTCACATCTTTACCATGTGTCAAACTAAGATACTGTCTGATGAAGAGGATATCTTCGCCTAAGTGTAAGACTTATCCATCCACGATATAACGGCTACTGCACCACTGAGCTCCACAGATGAGGGTGAGGGTGTGGTGTACGGGTGTGTGGGTGTGGGTGAGTTTGAAAGATTTTTAATCGAAAGAGAAAACGCTAGAACGAGTTCAGGGTGTGAGGATGATGGTGTGACGAGCAACCAGGACACGTTTCGATCCGGCTAAAGATCTCTTCAGATACCTTTATCTTTAAAGTGGATAGGTTCTGTTCTAACGATCTAGTGATCACAAATAAGACACCTATATCTTTTTGACCTATGCACTTTCGGAGAAGAAAGGATAGATACCGACAATACAGCGGTGAGGCGAGCAACCATGTCGCCTTTCGAGATTGCTAAAGGGTCTTCTCAGATATTTTTGGCTAAGTATCTGTTCGACTCATACAGGAGTTTTTTCCTAAAGGGTGGCGGCGACGGTCCTCCAAGTCACTTCCTGGATAAGTCTTTGGTTTCAAATGAATTGGTCAAGGCGGATGCAGTTCAGAGTGTTGTCAAAGATTATCTCAGATTTCATCGAACAGAAGTTCATTTTGTGCGATCGAATGTCGTCATGATAGTGGGACATCGGAGACAAGTTGATTCACTTTCAGATAATTTGTAACAAACAACGTTGACTTTGTCGTTTTCTCCTTGGTTTGTTCTCTTGATGATAGTCAAACCGATGATGAAAGGAACATTCTCAATCAGAGAGAGTAGATTAGAAATGGTTTTACAACTATTATGTGCAGCCAATTGTAAACGACACGGCGATTATCCTTTAACATTCTTATGAGAATATCTATGATTGATAGTTCAATCTCGTGATATTCCTATAATTTATTGTCATTTTATGCCTTCATTCCTCTTTTGTTTTTTGTTTCGATTTATCGTATTCTTCATTTTTATACTTTGTCCACAGTGTATAAATACATTTTTCTCCCTGTTAAGTCAAAAACTTATCGATCATGTGAAATAACAGAGTGATGATTGCACATGCCGTGAGAGTGAAAGTGTCTCTTTACCCTAATCCTCAAAACAGGTGTGGGTCTGAATCTAGGTCTAGGTCTGGGTCTGTGTCTGGGTC